TGTCTGAAGCCCTCAGCAGTCCACATGGTAACCATCTACAGGTTTCTGGGTGTATCTTCAAGATCAGTCTTCTGACAGCAGAGACACTCAACAAGCAATTTAAAAAGTCCTTCTTGCCCACAGCTGTGGCCCCATTAGCAAGTGAAAACCTCTGCACTGACAACCCACCCAACCTGAAAGCAATGATCAAGCATAAAAATGGCGTTGAAGGCCTGGCAGTATTCACTCAATGCTTTGAATGTGAGCAATGTTAGGTTTGCTAGAAGATCCAAACAGAACTCTCCCAAGTTACTTTCCACATACAATAAAGATACAGCCACACCACACATTTCAATGGCACACCAAGTGCCACATCCAGGCCTGCAGCACAGCCAAAGGCTTTGCTCAGCAGAGGCTCCACTTGCCAGCAGCCTCCCCAGGGCTCCCCAGGCTGCTGTCCAGGGAGCTGCTCAGTGGGTCATTGACATTTCTGTCGGTGGATGCTCAGCACCACACACCCACTGTTACTTTTAGTTGATAAAATTAGTCCATCCACGCCAAGAACAGCCAGGGAAACTTTAAATATTGGCTAAGCAGATGCAGTGTTGCCCACTGGTACACTAAAAGGAAGCTCATGAGTCATCTGATCCCAGTGAATCAAATGTTCCTAATGCCATTGTTGCAGTGACGTGTTGTCTGTAGTATTTGCAAAGCAAACAGATAAATATACTCAAGAGACTGAAAGAGTGGACATAGAGGAACAAAAGACTGGCTATTTTGGAAAGCCAAAACGGACTCCTGGAGATCTGTACAGCCAAGCAAAGCTTGGCCTCAGCATTAGGTCAAGAGTATTAATTAATAAAGCATTTTGAACAACATCTATATGTGGCCTGACAAAATTTTAATCAAATATATGTTATTATATGAAACTAAAAAGATACAGCTTTGGAATGGAGCTATAATTCTATTTGATACTGACAGATGCCATTAAATTTGCAAAATAAAACTTAACTGAAGAGTGCCAAAAAAAATTCTAAAAATCTTTTAAAACAATGAGAAACAAAAAGGCTGAATTTAACTGCAGCAGTTCAGTACAAATACTACATGTTCAGCATTTCTTCCCTTCCACTCAGCTTGGGAGGCAAAGCAGATGTGATGACTGCATGTACGTGCACAGCACACAGCTCTGGAGGCTGAGCTGCTCAGTGTTTTGCTCACTAGACTTTTTTAGCATCTGTGTTCTGTTGTTTCCAGTGCTGCATAACCTTCTGGAGAAATCTGCATACCCCTGCCTTTTCCTAATGTTGCCTTCTCTGTTCCATGGGTTCCTGCACCCTTCACTCTTCTTTGCTGAGGTCAGCTTTTCAAGAAATACGTTCTAACAAAGAGAAAAAAAAGATACCGTACTATTTCATTTTAAATACCAGCAAAAAAAAAAAAAAACAAACCACAAGAAAGAATAATATTAATTACATATAATAAATTCTGGTGAAAATAGGAAATGTGTCAGAGTTGCTCAAAGGTCTGTTATTTATGATTGTCCAACAGCTCCCAGTACAGCGAGTGTTAGGATGCACTTGTCAAATACCACAGTTTTTGCAGGAGTGGAATGGGAAAAGAAGGTTCCATGTTGCTAAGGGATAGGGCAGTGTCTGGTTCTAAACATAGTACAGGCAGTAGAGATTTGGCAAGAAAATAAAAGGAATAGCATAGGCCTGCAAGTGACTATTGCTTTAGGTTGCCCAGGCTGCTGGCTTCTCCATGACCTGCTGCCGTCAGAGCTGGCTACAGAGTGCTCTGGCAATGCCTCTCCCACAGCAGGAAAAACACAAAAGGAATATGCATAGTTTCCTGAAATTCCACCTGGTGTGTCACCAAACTGAAACAATCCCTGAAATATCACCAACCATTTGTGGTGCACTCAGTCACTGCTTTCAAACTCATGGGGGGAATCAAGCAAAGGTTTAGAAAAAGGAACCTAAAGCTCTGGAGTAAAGCAAAACCTGAAACAATTACCCCATCAGAGCTTCCATTCCCTTTCTCAGTACATTCCATCTCCAGACTTACCTTGGCTAGTTTGGCTAACTCTTGTATAGTTTTAAGGGTTTTAAGTCTTAAAAGTGTGTCTTCAAAGGTTGCAAGAAGCATTATAAGAATTATTTTAACATATTGTTGTTACAAACCGATATAAGTAACTGCCTAAGACAAAGACAAGCAAGGCAGTGATCACCAAAACATTCTGAGAAGCCAAAAAATGTTATTGTTATGTTTTCCTCAAACTCCTAATGGAACTATCATGTGCAAATGTATACAGTTTTCAAAGTGCTGTGATATTGTAGCATTATCAGTGTTAGTAACTAAAAGTTATCTGATTTGTTCCTGAAAACTCTAATGAAAACAGAAATTTCAATTCTCACCACTCAGTAACTTTGCTTAGAGAGGTAAATTGTATTTATTCACCTCTTTTCTGCAATGGATATAGATAGTTATGGCAGAAGTTAAGCACAACCAAAACCCCACCAATGGCAACCTCCTTCAGTCCTTTTAGCAGTTTAGGGCCACTGTGAAAAGAAGAAGAAGAAAAAAAAGTCCTTAGGTTTCAAAGTTTGGGCCCAAATTTCTGACCTAGGTGGAGGCTAAGAAGTCACTTCTCAGACTCTAGAAAATCTTTGTAAAGAAAGACCCTTCAGAGAGGTGCTTCATTAAAGCCTCTGATGGAATTCAGTTCTTGGAGGTACTTTCAGAAAAGATCAAGCTTTATCAGTCTTCACTGCAGCATATCATCCACATGCAAAAGCAAAACCTTTTAAACTTAATCTTTCAGTACTTGAGAAGGTTTACTGTGATCAAAACATCAGACTATGCAAAAATATCATATAACATTAAAACAGTATTTGATAAGTGTAAAAAAGGACACTTGGAGACATCTTCTCACATCAGAGAAGCTGAGTAATTCTGTGTCAGTCACAGGGGTGAATGGCTGGGGGATCCCCATATTCAACCCACTCCTTGTAGCAGAGAAAGTAGATTTGAAATAATAACATGTTAAATATTAGACAAATTAAATGAATAAGCCCACAGTACTGGATAGCATTCATTCATGAGCCCTGAAGGCATTCACATGTGAAACTGCAAAACTGCTGGCCAAGGTGTGCACCCCATCATCACACAAGGCCACCCTAACAGAGGTCTGGCAGCCTGGGAGTATAACTCCAACCCGAAACAGGGCTCTAGAGGGGAACCCAGGAACTACAGACCTGAATTCCACCCCTTGCAAGATAGAAAGGTGAGAAAAAAAATAATATCATCAAGTCAAGAGGTAAACACAATGTCAGGGTGCTGAGTGCTGAATCTGAGCCTGGCTATTATTCCCAGGCCATGATGCCTCCCCTCACCCTGCCTGAATATGAGGGACAGGTCCTTTGATGGCAAAGCCACTACTCCCATCCCCCTCCTTACCACGCTCAGCCCAGAGGAAGCTGCTGGCACTTGCAGCTTTCTGACATAAAATCTTTAATAAAAGAGTCAGCATTTCTACGAGGGGAAAACATTGCCTTGTTAACCTGCTGGAGTCTATGAGGTGTCAATAGACAGATGGACAGAGGAACCCAGTGGACACAGTTAGATGTCTCAAAAAACCTTTTGATGAAGCCCCACACTGAAGGTGTGGCTAAAAAGACTGAACTGACACAGGCTTAGGGAAAGGTTTTGTTACAGATTTAAGGCTGCTTAAAAGAATAAGGAGCAAAGCAGGAGGCTAGGTGGGCTCTTTTCAGTGTAAAGAAAAGTCACTGAGACTGACTTTTCTTCAGTATCTTCATCTATAACCTAGTGAAGAATGAAATCTGAGTTTCTGATGATCCTAAGTCCCTAGAAGTGATCAAATGCTATGAGGGCAAGGAATGCTAGAAGACTTGAGGAAAACTGAGTGAGCAGGCAAAAGTGTTGTAGATGAGTTTCAGTGTACATAACATAATGTATAAACATTACAATGTATAAACAAAACCAAGCCTACAGGGCAATGAACTCAGAATTGGCAGTTCTGAACTCAAAGAAAGTTTTACAGTCATCAGTGACAGCTCACTGAAATCAGAATCAATGTGAACCAGCAGTCAAAGACATCAACAAAAAGTTGGCCAAGAGGAAGAATTTTCAGAGCAAGGCTGGAGGCAGCATTTTGCCACTCTGTAGAACCTTGCCATACCCACATCTTGAGCATGCAACTCCAGCACTGTGGAGTGAAAAACAGTATGGACGAGACGCAACTAAAACCATCAGTGGGGCACAGCACCTGCCCCAATGATAATCCAAAAGGACTAAGGCTGTTCAGCTCAGAGAGGTGAAAGCTGAGAACCGATGCACCAAACGCAAATAAAATTTTAAACATCAAGCATAAACTGAACATGCGATTGCTTTTCACCAAATCTCACAATACTAATAGTAGAGAGCACTTCAGAAAACTGGTGGGGAATAATATAAAACAGATAAAAGTCCGTATCTTTAAACAGCAGGCTGCCACCAGGGCTGCAGAAGCAGATGCTATAAGCAAGCCCAGAAAGGGATTTGGCAAAATCAAGGATATCAAGTCCATAAGAAACATAGTGAGAGCATCATGCAGAGGTGTACCAACAGCCTGACACTGCCGGCGTGGATGCTGAGGAGCCCGAGGGGAATCAGGGAGCAGCCGGGCTGGCTGTGTGCAGCTCTCCTCTCTGCTGGAGATACTCCCGGAGCCAGGCGGACCTTCGCACTGCCCCGGGAGAGCACCAGGCTGATTATCTGTCATCTTTCAAGTGGAAAGTTACGCAGTGCTTGACTTTACCACACATGGAAAAGTAGCTAAAGTCATTGGGAACTTTATGTCCGCAGCACCTTACACGCTCGGGCCCCGAGACTGCTGTTCCCCTCACACCCGAAGGGCGGGAGACATTCGAGATGCTCCATCCAGAGCCACCGAGCGTTTCCCAGCGCTTCCTTTACGAAGACCACGAGTTGTTCCCTTCAGAAACCACCCTGGCACAAGCAAAAGTCTCTCCGAGCTGAAGATGCCGCTCTCCCGCTACTCTCGGCGGGACAAGGGCAGCCTGAAAGCGCCCGGCTACAAATACCTCACCGGCCCGCCCGGAGCCTCCCCCCCGGGCAGGCACCGCCGCGCCCCTACCTGAGCCACCACATGTAGCTGTGCTCGTAGGGGAAGAAGCTGTGGGGGTCATCGCAGCAGTACTTGACGTCCTGGAAGCCGCAGCAGAACACGGCGCGGGCGTCGCCGCCCGCCCGCGGGCAGCTGAACCCGCTCACCAGCACCTTGTCGGCGTTGAGGTAACTGCTGCACTCGGCGCTCATGGTGCCCGTGCCCGCCCGGCGACTCGGCTCGGCGGCGCCCGGGCGGGAGGGGAGGCGAGGAGAGGAGAGCAGAGGAGAGAGGCGGCCGTGGCGGGCGGAGCTGGGCGGGCAGGGGGCTGCGCTGGCGGCGGGAACCGCCGCGCCCACTCCCCCCCGGGGTCGCCACAAGGCGGGAGCGGCGGGAGCCGCCCGCGCCCTGAGGGGAGGGAATAGCGGGAAGGGGCTGTGTGCGGGGGCTGCTCCCGTCAGAGCCTGGGGCTTGATGTTACCTCGGGGCTGGGTCACACGTCGAGCAGAGGTTTAGGGGGTCCGCCCTCACCCGTCGCCTCGGTGGGGTCTCAGGGCAGCCAAAGCAGGGAGGTCATGGAGAGGGATCCCACCTCTGTTATACTCAGAAGCCCTTGGGGGAAAAGCTTCACGTAAAACTTAATGTTTCTGAGAGATCAATCTCCTACTCTTTCCAGAGGGCATTTCAGGGTACTTTTCTTAAAAAAATGGGGCTCAAGCAGTCACCGTTACCTGTATGAAAGAGCCTCTCCTGAGGGAAGGGTAAGCAGATCTCAGCTCCAGACGACACATCTGCCTGTAGTGCACTCTCTGCATGTGATTTGGCTCATGGAAAAAAGGGTAATAAGAAGCCTCTGGGAGAGCAATGGGATGCTTACCGTCTCCTCTAGATCCAGGAGAGCCTGGATCAAGTGCTTTACCACACAAGCGACCTCCTCAAGGAAAAGTTCAGGTTTTAGAGAGAAAGGGAAGTCGTGCAATATTAATAGAGCTTGACTTGAACTAGTAAGACCGCATTAAGTCAGCTAGCACTTTACACTTTGATTTCAGGTCTTGCCTTGACATGAACTCCAGGCAAGTGGAGTGTCGTCTTCCAGCTGTCGGGCAAAAGTAAGAGCCAGGAGTGATGGCAGCTCAGGGAGGTGCAGCCCTGCAGGATCTGAAGGTGGACAGGCTGGTGGATGGGCACCATCAGCAGCGCCAGGCAAGGTAAGATACTGAGTCCATCCAGGAGACAGGGCAGGAGGCAAGTTACGTACAGCATAGGTCTAAAGTTCATTCAGGAGGACTAACAAGCAATCCAGGATAGCAGGAGACAACACTGAGCTTAGGAAAGGTCAGGCTGCCCCAGCTGAGCTTAAATGTGGCTCCTGGACCAACGGGCAGAGGGTGTGGATGTTGTGAGGAGCCAGACGACGCTGGTCGGGGCCTGTTGGTGTCTACCTAGAGCCCTGACACTGAATCCTTCCAATACTACGTGCAGTCCCCCTGTATTAGACTGTACTTGCTAAAAAGTATAAATATTCTTCGGTTGCTTGGTTGGTTCTATTTTGTGAAATCAACCCTGACTTGGCATCAAGTGAAATGAAGTCAGAAATTCAGTCTGACTCTTTCTGCTGAATTACAGATTTGCCTTGCTAGTATTAAATATATACATGAAGAGTCAGGGAAGATTCAAATTATCAAACTGTTAAGCTTGAACAATTTGAGAATTTGACTTTAGGTACCTCAAAAACAGGCTCAACACTTAATGATGCACTGCACACAGTGAGAGGATTAATGACAGTGATGTGGCTGGTGCAAAGACTCCAGAAAAGGGGAGTCTGGGAGGGATCAATGCATATTGAACATCAACAAAGAAAAAGGCTGGATAACTATGAGATTTTGTAAGAGTTGTAACTTCACCTGAACACTTGTGTTGTTCAGGTGAAATCAGATACAATCAGATCAATTATTTTTATGATTGACTTATTTGAAATGTGTACAGGAAAATGATCTACCAAAGGCCAGAAAGCAGCCTTTTTACCTCAGTTATGTCAATAGTGTCAGTACATGTTAGGATTTAATTGTGGCTCTTGTGTTACCTGAGATTTTTTTTTAAGAGACCAATCTCCTGGTCATTTGATTCACAGTGACATGGGGACTGTTTTTCTGTGATTGAGGAGAGTCTCTAAGGAGGGAAGGATGGGTGAATCTCAGCTCAAAAGCTATCAGTTGGTTGGCCTGATAGTGTGTACGCACCAGTCAGTTAAACAACATGTGGTGTGGTTGAAACCAAGAAGTAGAGTGGTAAATGTCAGGGTTTTGGAGACTGGTTCAACACTTCTGAGATGTTGTCAATACTGTGTCCAAAACACAGACCTAAATAAGTCCTACAACTTCCCAGGATGGAGAAACATCTAATTCCAGTCTAATAGGTATTAGTCTTTTGAAATATCTTCATGTACCTTGTTCAGTTGCTAATAACTATTTTCTTCCAAAACCTGAATTCCTGTCTTTGTTTTTCTCTCTGATTCTCTTTATCCCTCTGTTGTTTTTTTTTAACTCATCCTTGGTTTGTTTCCACCAAGGTTCTGTTCATACCAAAATTCAACAACCAAGGCAAAGAGAATTGATTCCAGGAGTCATTCAATTCACCTTTTCAACTGAGTATTCCCAAATCAAATGGTCAAGAGATATAGAACATTCTTGGTTATTTTTGTATTTCACATTGTTATTTTACTTTTGGAGATTTTTCTCCTATTATTCAGAACTCAGCTAACTATTTTCCTCTCAGAATTATTACTGCAGTGATTTCAAACAAATAAAGTGAGCTATCACAGTTTTATGCTCAGTCTTACGCAGATTTCCACTCGTACTTAATAAGACAGAGTTGGAGTAAGGGTGGATTTTTTTCTCCAAACTTCATGAAATTTTGTTTCAAAGAAAGCTAAAATGTTCTGAAGTGGCAAAATCTTTTTTTTTAGCAATCAGTGTACTCATTTATATCATGCAGTAAGTTTATACTTGCTGTGATTATTGGGTGACAATAATTAGCATGCTCTGTTGTTCCAATTATTTGGAAAGATTTATTTGAAACATTAGAACTGACTTAATCTACCTCAGTGACTGAGTTAACTATGTAAGTGCTGGAGGATTGAAATAAAAAAACATTCTCTTTTGATGACATTCAGGGTTTGAAGTAGGAGTGGGAAGCTCTTCACTGACCAGTGGATGATGTGCATCATCTTTTATGTCAGAAGAAAACCACATCAACTTCTTTTCTCATTCCAACTACAAAATACAGACCTCTTCCAGCAAGAGCCAGTGGTTTGAAACTCATAAAATATGCTGTCCTTGCTCTCTCTTCACTATTACCAATATCAGTTTAAGTTACTACACAGATCCCTACAGCACTTCTCTCTGCTGAGTGAGGAGCGTGTTTCAACCTAACAGTGAGATCATCCAGCTTTCAGAAAAACACAGATCAAAGACCTTTGCAGGATATGTGTCAGTAACAGACAAATTATCTAGGTAATTCAGGAGCAGCTTTCAGAACTGTATCCACAACAAGATACTTCTATTCCCTGAGTGCTGAATTATCATCCTTGTGAATATGAGTCTCTTCTGCAGTGAAGCTCCAGCTCTAATTCTGATAAAATGTGCCAACTTTCTCAGATGCTTGCAACCCAGACTCTCCTGCAAATCTGTAACTGATTCACTGGCACTCATACTGGCTTCCAAGAGGTTGTTTTGGCTGTGCTTAAAGCCCTTTTCCAAAATACTTGGTGCCATGGAACTGCACCTTTGGCTTTCTCTTTCTTATAACTGTTTTCCAGCCTTCCCAATTAACTAATAAATAAAAATACATGTATGTTGTCTATGCAATAATTCAAACAGCAGCATTTTTGTAGTCTTCATCTAAACTACAATTCATGTGAAAAGCATACAGCCTCTTATTTACTTATTTACTCCACACTATACTGGCCAGCAGAACGGGGGTGCTTTCATTTTGCAGCAAATTACAAGAGTTCCTCTGGCCGATACAGCTTAGAGCAAAGGGGGCTTGAGGGAGAAGCTAAACTTCGATTTACCCATTCCCTTTAGACACAACTCATAGTGAATTTTGCCTCTGTGCTGACCACTGAGAAAAGCTGACAACAGGCATTTTCATTAACAGCTATGGGACACATTTCTACCAGCCAACCTTCTAATAAACAGAAAATCCATTATGAATTACCAATAGAGCTGTCAGATCAGCATCAATCCTCAGACCTACATGGCAAGTTTTTCCTTAAGAGCATAATCTAATTATTAATAGGCAAAGAGCTGCATAAATTACTCTCAAAAGTAATCTGGTGGCAAATTATGCAATTAAACAAAATTGCCGTGCCAAGATGGTATAACTAGCTCTGATTAGGACTAGAAACTTAAACTGACAGCAGAGTTAGTGCAGGCAACATGTTTTATCCCACATGAGTAGTAGGCAATTGAGAAAGGCAGATGACAGCATAAGGTTCAGAACAGAAAAGGGAACAGAAGTTTGAAGTGGTGCATACTTGGAGTACAGTGAGATGCTGTCACTCAGAGGACTAAAAAAGAAGGACCGATGTGAGAAGCATCATAAAGAGGACCGTCTGCTTTGGCACTCCTGTGCATTAGGGAAGGACTGAAGTCTCTCAAGGGGTCATGATGCACCTTAGGTTCTGCTCTCAACTCAGCCAGTGCACAGCTGTAAGCGAGTTGCTTCCCCGGTGTGTGCCCCACTTGAACTCTGTCCATTTGTGGCAGCGATGGAGCTGTGTGACACCTCTGGGCAGAAGAGTTTGTAGTTTGAGATCCTCTCTGTGCAAGTGGACACACGTATGAAGTATCATCATGAGTTTTTCAGGTCACTCTAGAGCCTACCAATTTTTCTGGTCATTTTAGCTGTCCTTCATACACATTATTCTTTAGTTGATTCCTCCAGTCAATACATAGTATAGATTTTGCCTTTGTACTGTCTCTGCTTCACAGAACTAAATAACGAAGAAGAAGAAAGTGATTTTAAGCATCAAGAAGTAAGAAGAGGCTTCAGTCAAAATTTTAAGGAAGAGGAAAAACCAGTGAAACACAGTGAAGTAGGAAGTTGGCACCAGTAATTTTGAGGTGAGGATGGAGCTCTGATAAGCAGTTTGTTTTTATATGTGTAGTGGCCCTCAGTATCTACAGTGTTTTATGTTCTGTAATTGGCAAATATTTCAGAATAATGACTCACTTAAGCAGTTCTTACCCTTTAACACTTACTCTTTTATCTAGAAATAAAATAATCAGATGGATAATACAGTTTTCAACAATGAACCTGACCAAACACTCTTGATTGCAGTTTGTCTTTGTGGACTGGTTTTCATTTCTTTTTCCTTTTCAGAGAGGAATATTCATTTTACTCTTCTGAGTAAAAGGCGTAGAAATTTTATGGTCCTTACTTACAAAAAAATAACAATGTGACACTGCCTCAATCATTTGACTTTGCTTTTATTTATTCTACTTGTAAAATACAATTATTTGTAATTTTAGGAACTAATTATATGTTGTAGTGCAACTTCTACTTGAATAGGAGGATTCAAATTTTAAAGGATTCCAGCAAGTATGCAGTTCTGTATGTAGGGGATAATTATGGGGGTAATTCTGAAACTGAGTTACTCAATTACAAGACAGTTAGAAATGATGGGCCTATTATTTCATACTATTTAAGCAAGATATCCATCAGAGACATCACTTGTAAAACATGTAAGTTGTTTGATCTTTTCAGCATTTATTCTATATTAATAGACAAAATAAGAAGTTATAGATTCATAGGCTCATAATGAATTTTCACTTTCTATCACAGTTTTAATTTACCTTGTCTGAAACTTAAGATTTAAGGAAAAGACTTAAGAAAACAGGTTTGAAGCATTGACTTCAATATATCAGTGAAAAAGTATTACAATAAAACTTCTTCCCACCATTTTTGCTGTAAACTCAAACTGAAGCTTATTAATTTTCTTCATTTTGTTCAAGCTCTTAGGCCAATAATTTAGATTTAGTCCTACTAAGACTATTTTTAAAATATCAAAAGCTGATTTTTTTATGCTATTATATAAATAGTTTTTACAAATTTTTGTGTGCCTTGTCTCAGAATCCCTTCTCTCACTTGGCCATCATAGAGAACTTTCATTCTAATTTATAATTCAAAGAGATTCAGATATCAGTAACTGTTCCTCTTTAATTCTCCCACGCAACTATCTTCATATTTTGTGTGTAAGGGTAACATCATCTATTGTTAAAGTTCTGCAGCGGGAGAGAAACTTTTACAGGAGCCTGTTTACAACAGCTTCTTGTCTTACCAAGCTTTATTTTGGGACTGAAGTTTCCTGTCCTGTGTGAAGGAAGATGTTAAGGCCAAAGATTTGGGGTAAGGAACTAGAACTGGCATGATAAACATAAGAATCAGGGGCTGGGATTTGGTAGTTGAAGAGAACAGGGCTGGGATGAAGAGATGGGAGTAGGAAAGAGGCAAACTGAAAGGACAAGGCAAAGAGGATCAGTCTTTGGGGTAACAGGGAATCCCTGCTCTGCCTGGGAAGCTTGGAACACAACCCAAGTTTCCTGCTTGTCCCTCTTCCTTTGCTATCAGCAAGTATCTTTAATTCCTATGGGAAAATGTATGATTCAGTGAGTTCTCTCTCACATATATGATGACAGTGACCTATTTATTTCATCAATTCATGTGGCAAAATTCCATGTGATGGTCTGAAATATTTCGGATGACTCATGTTGTTGCAAATATGAAATTTTGCTCGTTTCCTCCATTTGTTTTCAAATGTACAAAATCACATTGAAAGAATATTAGGTTACTTAGAATTTACACTTGCCAGACTTGGAGCTAATAACATGATCATACTCTATTTTTTGAGAGATTTCATCTCCTTCGGCAATGGAGTTTTTAAGGATTTTATTTTGTTACTCTTTTTAAATGCCTGGTCAAAAGCTTATCAACTGCATGTTAACCATACCTACTGGGAATACAGAATTGTTTCAGCCATGGTATTTGGTAATACTTCTGATTGCTTCACAGATACTAATTCATTTGTCCAGTCCCCTGTGATATGAGGACTTTTCATTCCTGATATTGTTGTGTTAGTCACAAGCAAGGACATGCCTTTCTGAGCAATTGTTTTCTTGACAGAGTTTCAGTTTTATTTTCTAGCTGCAAAAGATCAATTTTATTCCTCTTTTTAGGTGCTGAAAGTGAGTTTGTTTTCCACCTTTGGAGCACTACTAGATTTGGGGATACTGTAAAGAAAATCAGTTTCTTTGGCTGAAATTAGAAAGCCTTATTCCTTTTCAAAATCATTTTTACTTCAGTGGTGGAAAGGAGGACCAGCTGTCCAACACAAACAACTAAGCCAAAGGAAAAATAAAAGTTATATTCTTATTAAGAACACCTTGCATAGCCTATTCTTTGATCAGATGGTTCAGAACATGAAATGAATATAGACTCCAAACAATATCTGATGGTTACATGGTTTGTGTGTCTTTGAGACACCACAGGTCTTTCAACTCAACTACGTTTGCACAATAGTTATTAAAATGCAACTGAGGCACATGATTGGTACTTCTTAACCTTATCCATCCCTCAGTATCAGAGCCCCTGATTCCCATGCACTCTGTAATTAATGGAATCACTCTCAGTGCCACACTAGGCCTTTTGAAGCTGGGCCAGGTGAGCTGTTGGTCAGGTCTCCACCTCATCAGTCCTGCTTCGGTGAAATGCTCACCAGTCACATCTCAGATGAATGGTTCATTTGATCTCTTATAATCAAATATTCTCTCAGGAATTGAATGAAGCTGTAGCTATATTGTATCTTCTCACCATTCTACCTGGAATTCACACCAGGATTTTGACAGAAATTGTTTCTGTGTTGCTACTGAAGTGGAATGTATCAGTGCAGCTCACTGTCAGACATGATGAACATCTCAACAGAAGCAGTCAAAGCAGAATCAAGCTAAATTAGCCTAATTTACAGTAGCATTGCTGTTTGTCTTATGGAAGGGAATGTAATTACTTCATTTGTTGCTGTCTGTTTCTCACTTTAACTGCTGCCAAATTATTCAGATTTACCTGGTAGCTTCCTTTCTCCTGTTGGATTAGCTGAAGGTGATAGACACATCTGTACAGACTTGGAAGGAGAAGATTAAATTCTGTCCTTTGCTTTTCATTAACTTCTTTCATGCTTTTGGGAAAATGGTGTCACTGACATGCTTAATTGCTTCATCTATAGGATCAATATCAAGCCCTTTTTCATGATGCTCTGAGGTTTCTGTAAGTTACAGTAAAAGAATATAATTATTACTGTATTTGACTAAAAATGTTCCACTTTTACCATCCTTATTATTACTTTAGTTCCTCCATCAGTAACAAACATTCCTGTTTTCATCTCACTGAAAATTTTCATGTTTTGTTTTGAACCTCATTACATTCAGTACAGATTAAATTTAGAATAAGGTACAGAATGCTTCCATCTTACACACACACAGCTTTGTAAACATATATATGTGGCATGAAACCACTTTGCTTCAGCACCAGTGCCATAACTCTGAGCTGTGAGTGCACACATATGAATGTGATTCTACATGCTTCTTTTTATTATTTGACTTTAAATCAGCATTTGTACCAAAGTAAAGAAAGACAAGAATGAAAGAAGGTGGAATTTCAATAATTCTTTTATTTGCTACACTGGTTGCTATTTTATAATTGCATTGCATTTTAAATTTCACATTCAAAATGTTCAGGCTGAGACACAGGCACTACACTGCCTATTCCAATGGAAATTTGAATTTTTATCTCATTATAGATCTAAAATTCAGAATTCTTATCACACTAGACATTTTTACATTAGAAACTCCCACTCTAAATTCTAATCTCTTTTCTGTTTCAGAAGAATGCCTATAGGAAATCTGTAAGGGTTTTATATTACTGTAATTTGTTCTCAGGAGATCTGAGATCTTGTTTAAAAAAAAAAGGAAGAAAAAGATGCAAGAACTGTGGTTGTATAAACAATTACAGCCAACATCCTATATAAAGCCAAACACAAATGGTAATCCTCCTGACCTTTAAGGCTTTCCACATCATTTCTTGGGTGTAGAAATTTTGAAAGCCTAACTATACTACAAAAGTAGCCCTTATATCTGGAAATTCTCCACGGTTTTGGGCAGAGTGTGAATGAGATGGTTCTGTGAGGAGCAGGGAGTTGGACTCCATGATTTTATGGGTCCCTTCCAACTAGAGATATTCTGTGGTTTTATGATATTAAGTGTCAAGAAATCTGAGGGCTTTCTTTCAAAATAATGCAGCGTCATCTCATCTCAGTGCTTGTATTTAAGTCTTGCACCAATTATTATAATAACAATTTTAAAAGTAGTCATCTCCCACACGAGAATGGAAAAGGAAGACAAATACCAAGGGTGCTGGTTCCCTGCTACAGCCTATGCAAAAGCAAACCTGGCCTGACAGGGGGGAGAGTGCTGAGCATTCCTTGCTTTTCTGGGAAAAATGAATGTGTTACTGTCTGTTCCTTTTAGAAAACAAACCATTCAGCTCATAAATCAGGAGCTGAAATGTATTTAGAGCAGTGGTAACCAAATCAGTCCCCTGCCATGAGGTCACTTTTTGATGAGTCACCATCGAGTCCCAGAGACGTCATCCTGCTCTTCCCAACAGGTAATTAATGCAAGCAGGAAAGGGGACCAGTAAATGGAATATGTAATTATGAGAGTTGGTGTATATATTGAGGGGGGGTTAACTTATTTTGGAAGCTCCTAAAGTACATGAACAAAGACTGGTAACCAAACTGCATCGACAGTGACGTGCTAGAAGCACAAGAGACTTTTTTCAAGTGGTTTTTACTTCATTATTCCCTGGTTACTGTGGCTCAAGATGAGTTTGGTTCCTGAGAACAGCTGATTTCCTGCATTTCTGACATTCAAGCCAACAGAGATGTACAAGAAATCGAGTTTATAACTGGCTGTTAGTAATGTAATACACACAAAAAAGCCAGATCTCTATAGATGCTAAACCTCTGGTCCTTCCAGCACATCTGTGTAGCTGTTGCTGGTACACA